ACCTGGGGACAGCGGGGACACCTGAGGGGACAGCGGGCAGCGGCCCCGCCCCCCGGCCACACCAGTGACCACCAGTGACTCCCAGTTCCCCCAGTTCTTCCCCATAGGTCCCAGTGCCCCCAATAAATCCCAGTTCCCTCCCAGTCCCTCCCAGTTTTCCCAGTCCCCCCAGTTCCTCTCAGTAAATCCCAATGCCCCCAGTTCCCCAGTCCCTCCCAGTTCTCCCCAGTCCCCCCCAGTTCTCCCCAGTTTTCCCAGTTCCCTCCAGTCCCCCCCAGTCCCGTCTCGCTCCGCCCAAGCCGCGCCCCCTCCTGTCCATCCACGCTCTCAGCCAATCAGCGCCCGTGCCCAGCGCCGAGGCCCCGCCCCCGGCCCTGCGGCGGCGCGCGCGGACTGCGCCAAACGGGGGGCGGGGCCTCGGAGCGGGGGCCGGGACCTGCCCGTCCATATATGGGCAAAACCACGCCCACCACGCGGGGGAAAACCACCGCCCCCGTGTTGTAAGCCCCGCCCACAGCGCGGCACAGCTGGGCACACGTGGGCTCCCAGTAACCTCCAGTAAGTCCCAGTTTGCCCGGTGAAACCCCAGCCCGTCCCAGGGTCCCCAGGAGCTCAGGGCTCTCCCAGTGCTCCCAGTATGTCCCAGTTCACCCAGTGAACGCCAGTAACCCCCAGTGACTCCCAGTAACCCCCAGTAACCGCCAGTAACTCCAGTTCACCCAGTGCCCCCAGTAACCGCCAGTGCTCCCAGTAACTCCCAGTAACCGCCAGTAACTCCCAGTTCACCCAGTGAATCCCAGTAACCCCCAGTGAATCCCAGTAACTCCCAGTTCACCCAGTGCCCCCAGTAACCGCCAGTGCTCCCAATAACCCCCAGTGAATCCCAGTAACTCCCAGTATATCCAGTTCACACCAGTAACTCCCAGTTCACCCCAGTAACTCCCAATGCCCCAGTAACCCCCAGTGCCCCCAGTAACTCCCAGTAACCCCCAGAGCCTCCAGGAACTCCCAGTTCCTGCTCACGCCTGTCCCGACACACCTGAACACACCTGGGCACATCTGGCCCTGACACCTGGACATCCCCGACACACCTGGGCACAGCTGGTCACCCCTGCCCCACCTGGTGACACCTGGGCCCACCACAGCTGGACGTCCCTGACACACCTGGACACACCTGGCCCTGTCACCCCTGTCACACCCGGACATCCCTGTCACACCTGGTGACACCTGGCACCACCACAGCTGGACATCCCCGACACACCTGGACACACCTGGCCCTGTCCCACCTGGACATCCCTGACACACCAGAACACATCTGGCTCTGTCCCACCTGGTCACACCTGGACATCCCTGACACACCTGGTCACACCTGGTCACACCAGTCCCCACCACACCTGGCCCTGACACACCTGGAAATCCCCAACCACCTGGACACACCTGGCCCTGTCCCACCTGGACATCCCCAACACACCTGGACACATCTGGCTCTGTCCCACCTAGTCACACCTGGACATCCCCGACACACCTGGACATCCCTGACACACCTGGACACACCTGGCCCTGTCACACCTGGCCCTGTCACACCTGACACACCTGGCCCTGTCACACCTGGCCCTGTCACACCTGGACACACCTGGCCCTGTCACACCTGGCCCTGTCACACCTGGCCCTGTCACCCCTGTCACACCTGGACACACCTGGCCCTGTCACACCTGGCCCTGTCACACCTGCTCACCCCCGGCTGTCCCTGTCCCCGCACATCCGTGTCACACCCGCTCTCAGCTGTCCCCACCACCCCTGGCCGCCCCCCCTCCCCCCCCGGCCTCACACCTGCCCAGGTGCCCCCCCCCCCGCTCTTTCCCCCTCCCCCCGCGCTCTCCCGCCCCCCCATCCCCCCCAATCCCCCCTTTCCCCCTCCCCCCTCACCTCCCCCCTCCCCCCTCCCGCAGCCCCGCGCGCTGCCCCCTCCCCGCCCCTCCCCCGCTCCCCCGCGCCCCCCCCCGAGCCCGGGCCCCCCCCCGGAGCCCCCCGAGCCCCCCCCGGCCCCGCGGGCCCCCCCCGGTACCGGTCCCGGCCCATCGGTCCCGGCGCTGCGGCGCTGCCGGAGGCGCTGCGGGCCGGGGGCGGGGCTTGCGGGGGGCGGGGCCTGGCAGGGAGGCCACGCCCACTGGGCAGGAGCCCTCCACACCCCCCCCCCCCCATACCCACCCCCCCCTCTCCGTCCCCGATGTCGCTGATGGAGACCACCGGGGGTTGTCCCCTCCCCTTTGTCACCTCCCTTTGTCCCCTCCCCTTTGTCACCCACCGGTGTCACCCCCCCCGTGCCACCTCATGTGTGTCCCGTCCCCTTGTCACCCCCCCCGTGTCTCGCCTGTCCCCTCCTGTCCCCCCCCCCCCCGGGTGTCACATCAGTGTCCCCGTCCTTGGAGAGCCGGGCCACCCGACACGGGGGGGACACGGGGGGGACACAGGGGACAGGGAGGACACGGGGGACACAAGGGTGGGGGACACGAGGGACAGCGGGTGTGGGGACACCAGGGACAGCGTCAGCTCAAGGGAAACGCTCTGTCCCCATTCCTGTCCCCATCCCTGTCCCATCCCTGTCCTGTCCCCGTCCTTGTCCCTGTCCCATCCCTGTCCAACCCAGTCCCTGTCCCCATCTTTGTCCCATCTCTGTCCACTCCTTGTCCCTGTCCTTGTCCCTGTCCCCATCCCTGTCCCGTCCCCATCCCTGTCCTTGTGGCCATCCTTGTCCCCATCTCATCCCTGTCTCCAGCCGTGTCCTGTCCCTGTCCTTGTCCCTGTCCCATCCCTGTCCCCATCCCAGTCCTCAACCTTGTCTTGTCCCTGTCCCCATCTCTGTCCACTCCCTGTCCCATCCCTGTCCCTGTCCCATCCCTGTCCCCATCTCCATTACATTCCTTGTCCCATCCTTGTCCCCATCCCTGTGTCCCCATCCCTGTGTCCCCATCCTTGTCCCCATCCCTGCGTCCCATCCCTGTCCCTGTCCCCATCTTTGTCCCATCCCTGTCCCCATCCCTGTCCCCATCCTGCGTCCCCATCCTGTCCCTGTCCCCATCCCTGTCCCTTCCTTGTCCCCATCCCTGTGTCCCCATCCTTGTCCCCATCCCTGTGTCCCCATCCCTGTGTCCCCATCCCTGTCCCTGTCCCCATCCCTGTCCCCCCTCCACGTGCCTTTCCCTCTGGCCCCGCCCCGTTCCCGCCCCCCTCCCCGCCAATCACAGCGCGGCGCGCGCCCCTCCCGCCCTTTTTCACCAATGAGAACGCACGGGAGGCGCGGCCAGCGGCGATGACATCACCTCCATCCAGACCACGCCCCTCTCGCCCCACCCCTGCTTCTGATTGGCCTCTTGGGACAAAAAAAATAACCGACATCTCTATCGACCAATAGCAGAGCCGCGCGCAGCGGGAGCGCTTCCCATTGGCTGCGAGCTCTCAGGGGCGGGGCCAGCAGCCGCTGTCGCTCCTCGGGGTCTTGGGGGGATTTAGGGGGACCTGGGGGGGGACATTGGGGACCCCCAGAGCCGTGGGGACAATGGGAACCCCCCAGGAGGGGACACCAGGGACCCCCAGAGCCGTGGGACATTTGGGACACCCCCAGGAGGGGACACTGGGGACCCCCAGAGCCTGGGGACATTGGGGACACCAAAGAGGGGCCCCCCAAAGCCATTGGGGACACCTAAAGAGGGGGACAATGAGAACCCCCAGCACTCTGGGGACATTGGGGACACCAAGGAGGGGACCCCCCCAGCCCGCTGGGGACACCAGGCCAGCATGGTGAGGTGACACTGAGAACCCCCAGCGCTCTGGGGACATTGGGGACACCCAGAGAAGGGATGTTGGGGACACCAAGGAGGGGACACTGGGGACCCCCAGCCCCCTGGACACATTGGGGACAACACAGGGAGGTGACACTGAGAACCCCCAGCCCCTTGGGGACACAGGGACAGTGCAGGGAGGTGACCCCCAGTCCCTTTGGGGACACGGGGACAGCGCAGGGAGGTGACACTGAGAGCCCCCAGCCCCTTTGGGGACACGGGGACAGCACAGGGAGGTGACACTGAGAGCCCCCAGCCCCTTTGGGGACACTGGGACAGCACAGGGAGGTGACACTGAGAACCCCCAGCCCCTTGGGGACAGTGCAGGGAGGTGACAATGAGAACCCCCAGCCCCTTGGGGACACAGGGACAGTGCAGGGAGGTGACACCGAGAGCCCCCAGCCCCTTGGGGACACAGGGACAGTGCAGGGAGGTGACACTGAGAGCCCCTAGCCCCTTGGGGACACGGGGACAGCACAGGGAGGTGACCCCCAGCCCCTTGGGGACACGGGGCCAAGTGCAGGGAGGTGACACTGAGAGCCCCCAGCCCCTTTGGGGACACCGGACAGCGCAGGGAGGTGACACTGAGAACCCCCAGCCCCTTGGGGACACCAGGCCAGTGCAGGGAGGTGACACTGAGAACCCCCAGCCCCTTGGGGACACGGGGCCAGCACAGGGAGGTGACACTGAGAACCCCCAGCCCCTTGGGGACACGGGGCCAGCGCAGGGAGGTGACACTGAGAACCCCCAGCCCCTTGGGGACAGCACAAGGAGGTGACACTGAGAGCCCCCAGCCCTTGGGGACATGGGGACAGCACAGGGAGGTGACACTGAGAACCCCCAGCCCCTTGGGGACACGGGGCCAAGTGCAGGGAGGTGACACTGAGAACCCCCAGCCCCTTGGGGACAGTGCAGGGAGGTGACACTGAGAGCCCCCAGCCCCTTTGGGGACATGGGGACAGCGCAGGGAGGTGACACCGAGATACCCCAGCCCCCTGGGGACACCAGGCCAGCACAGGGAGATGACACTGAGAGCCCCCAGCCCCTTGGGGACACGGGGACAGCGCAGGGAGGTGACACGGGCGGCGCGGGGAGGTGACACGGGCGGCAGGGCTGTCCGGGAGGTACAAAGCTTTATTGGGGAGGGGGTGGCGGGGGTCCCTAGGCGGGGGACACGGAGGAGTTGGACACCGAGGACACCTCGGTGCGGGAGGTGGAGACCTCGGAGCCATCGTCCACCTTCTTGCCAAAGAGCTGCAGGATGCAGTTCCGGAACTGCGGGGACACACGGGGGACACAGGGGACATGGGTCAGACAGGGGACACCGGGGACACACAGGGGACAGGGGGACACACAGGGACACAGGGGATGGGGGGACAGGGGACGGACAGGGGAGAGGGGGAAGAGGGCACAGGGGGACACACAAGGACACAGAGGGGGACAGGGGACACACGGGGACAGGGGACACAGGGGACACGGGACAGACAGGGGACAACGGGGGGACAGGGGGACAGGGGAGAGAGGACAGGTGGGACATGGGGGACAGAGGGGGCACAGGGGAACACACAGGGACATGGGGGGAACAGGGGACACACAGGGACACGGGACAGACAGGGGACAACAGGGGGGACAAGGGGACACATGGGGACAGGGGACACAGGGGACACGGGACAGACAGGGGACAACGGGGGGGACAGGGGGACAGGGGAGAGAGGACAGGTGGGACATGGGGAACAGAGGGGGCACAGGGGACGGTGGGGACAGGGGGGACACACAGGGACACAGGGGAGGACAGGGGACACACAGGGACAGGGGACGGGCAGGGGACAGGGGGATATAGGGACAGACAGGGGACACAGGGGACACAGGGGACAGGGGGACAGACAGGGGAGAGGGGGGACAGGGGACAGACATGGGACAGGGGGATATGGGGACACACAGGGGGGACAGAGAACACATGGGAACAGACAAGGGACACACAGAGGGGACAGGGAAACACAGGGGACAGATGGGGGACACAGGGGACAGAGAGGGGACAGAGAGGGGACATGAAGATGTAAATGATGGAGTTGTAGATGGTGGCTCCATCCCATACCCCATACCCCATTCCCACAGCTGTCCCCAGCTGTCCCCAGCTGTCCCCAGGTGTGTCCCCAGGTGTGTCCCAGGTGTGTCCCAGGTGTGTCCCCCAGGTGTGTCCCAGGTGTGTCCCAGGTGTGTCCCCAGGTGTGTCCCCCACCTGTCTGTTCATGCAGACGTAGATGACGGGGTTGTAGATGGTGACCCTATCCCATATCCCATATCCCATATCCCATATCCCATATCCCATGTCCTGGCTGTGTCCCCATGTCCTGGCTGTGTCCCCATGTCCTGGCTGTGTCCCCATGCCCACACGTGTCCCCAGCTGTCCCCAGCTGTCCCCAGGTGTGTCCCAGCTGTCCCCAGGTGTGTCCCCCACCTGTCTGTTCATGAAGACGTAGATGATGGGGCTGTAGATGGTGACCCTGTCCCTATCCCATACCCCATATCCCATATCCCATACCCCATATCCCATACCCCATACCCCATATCCCATATCCCATATCCCATACCCCATACCCCATATCCCATATCCCATATCCCATATCCCATATCCCCATGCCCATAGGTGTCCCCAGCTGTCCCCAGGTGTGTCCCCAGGTGCGTCCCCCACCTGTCTGTTCATGAAGACGTAGATGATGGGGTTGTAGATGGTGACCCTGTCCCTATCCCATGTCCCATGTCCCATATCCCATATCCCATATCCCATATCCATATCCCCATGCCCATAGGTGTCCCCAGCTGTCCCCAGGTGTCCCCAGGTGTGTCCCCCACCTGTCTGTTCATGCAGACGTAGATGATGAGGCTGTAGATGGTGACCCTGTCCCTATCCCATATCCCATATCCCATACCCCATATCCCATATCCCATATCCTCATGCCCACACGTGTCCCCAGGTGTCCCCAGCTGTCCCCCAGGTGCGTCCCCCACCTGTCTGTTCATGCAGACGTAGATGATGGGGTTGTAGATGGTGACCCTGTCCCTATCCCATGTCCCATGTCCCATATCCCATACCCATACCCCATGTCCTGGCTGTGTCCCCATGCCCACAGCTGCCCCCAGCTGTCCCCAGGTGCGTCCCCCACCTGTCTGTTCATGCAGACGTAGATGATGGGGTTGTAGATGGTGACCCTGTCCCTATCCCATATCCCATATCCCATATCCCATATCCCATATCCCATATCCCATATCCCCATGCCCACAGCTGCCCCCAGGTGTGTCCCAGGTGTGTCCCCCACCTGTCTGTTCATGAAGACGTAGATGATGGGGTTGTAGATGGTGACCCTATCCCTATCCCATATCCCATATCCCATATCCCATATCCCATACCCCATATCCCATATCCCATATCCCATACCCCATATCCCATATCCCCATGCCCATAGGTGTCCCCAGCTGCCCCCAGGTGTGTCCCCAGGTGCGTCCCCCACCTGTCTGTTCATGCAGACGTAGATGATGGGGTTGTAGATGGTGGCCCTGTCCCTATCCCATACCCCATATCCCATACCCCATATCCCATATCCCATATCCCATATCCCATATCCCATATCCCCATGCCCACAGGTTTCCCCAGGTGTCCCCAGGTGCATCCCCCACCTGTCTGTTCATGAAGACGTAGATGATGGGGTTGTAGATGGTGACCCTGTCCCCATCCCTATGTCCCATACCCCATGTCCTGGCTGTGTCCCCATGTCCTGGCTGTGTCCCCATGCCCATAGGTGTCCCCAGGTGTCCCCAGCTGTCCCCAGGTGCGTCCCCCACCTGTCTGTTCATGAAGACGTAGATGATGGGGTTGTAGATGGTGGCGCTCTTGGCGAAGAAGGCGGGCAGGGCGGCGGTGAGCGGGTGGAAGGCGTAGCCGGGGTTGGCGGCGGCGAAGCAGGCGAAGATGGTGTAGGGCCCCCAGCAGAAGCAGTAGGCCAGGATCATCACCACCACCATGCGCGACACCTCCTTCTCCGCCTTCTGCGTCGACTCCGACTCCTTCTGCTGGGCCGCCACCTGGGGGGGCACGAGGGGGTTAAAAGGGTCCTGGGGGGGGAGATTGGGGGGTTTGGGGGGAGTTTGGGGGGAGATTGTGGGGTTTGGAGGGGTTATCATGGGGTTATTGTGGGGTTTGAGGGGTTAAAGGGGTATCTGGGGGTGACTCCTTCTGCTGGGCTGACACCTGGGGGGGGACACGAGGGGTTAAAAGGGTCCTGGAGGGGTCCTGGGGGGGAGATTGTGGAGTTTGGGGGGGATTTGGGGGGATATCGTGGGGTTTGGAGGGGTTATCATGGGGTTATTGTGGGGTTTGAGGGGTTAAAGGGGTACAAAGGGTGGCTCCTTCTGCTGGGCTGACACCTGAGGGGGGTCAGGGGGCAGATGGGGGGGGTCCTGGGGGGTTATTGTGGGGTTTGGAGGGGATTTGGGGGGATATCGTGGGGTTTGGGGGGTTATCATGGGGTTATCGTGGGGTTTGAGGGTATCTGGGGGTGACTCCTTCTGCTGGGCCGCCACCTGGGGGTGGGCACGAGGGGGTTAAAAGGGTCCTGGGGGGTTATTGTGGGGTTTGGGGGGAGTTTGGAGGGATATCGTGGGGTTTGGAGGGGTTATCATGGGGTTATTGTGGGGTTTGAGGGGTTAAAGGGGTATCTGGGGGTGACTCCTTCTGCTGGGCTGACACCTGGGGGGGGACACGAGGGGGTTAAAAGGGTCCTGGAGGGGTCCTGGGGGGGGAGATTGTGGAGTTTGGGGGGGATTTGGGGGGATATCGTGGGGTTTGGGGGGGTTATCATGGGGTTTTTTTCAGTTCTGGATTTTTTTTTTCCCAGGGTTTTTTCATTTTGGGATTTTTTTCCCCCGGGGTTTTTAATTTCAGGATTTTTTCCCCAGGGTTTTTTCAGTTCAGGATTTTTTCCCCGGGGTTTTTTAATTTCAGATTTTTTTCCTCTTTTTTTTTTTCAGTTGGGGATATTCTTCCCCAGGCTTGTTTTTATTTCTGTATTTTTTTCCCCGGGGTTTTTTCATTTCAGGATTTTTTCCCCAGGCTTGTTTTATTTCTGTATTTTTTCCCCATTTTTTAATTTCAGTTGGGGATTTTTTTTCCCCAGGCTTGTTTTTATTTCTCATTTTTTTCCCCCGTATTTTTTTTTTCAGCTCAGATTTTTTCCCAGCATTTTTTTTTTTTTGCCTCAGATTTTTTGGTTTTTTTTTGTTTTATTTTTTGGGTGGGGGTCTCTCCTCACCGCACGGATGGCCAGCCAGACTTGCAGGTAGCAGAAGATGATGACGGCCAGCGGGAAGAAGCAGCAGGTGACCATCAGCACCACCATGTAGGACTGCACCCCCGGGTCCGTGCTGCCGCTGAACACGTCTGGCCCGCACGAGGTCTTCAGCCCGTGGGGCCAGTACCTGCCATGGGGACATTGGGGGTCAGGGGGGACAATAGGGGACAATGGGGACCCCCCCAAATTCCTCAGAAAGGATCCGGGTCTGGGGGATCCATGGGAATCTCTGGGAGTCACCCCCATGGGGTCAGTACCTGCCCAGGGGGACATTGGGGGACAATAGGGGACCCCCCCAAATTCCTCAGAAAGGATCCGGGTCTGGGGGATCCATGGGAACCTCGGGGAGTCACCCCCAGACCCACCCTGGGGACACCTGAGTCACCCCCATGGGGTCAGGGGGACATTGGGGGGTCAGGGGTGGCAATAGGGACCCCCCCAAATTCCTCAGAAAGGTTCTGGGTCTGGGGGATCCATGGGAACCTGAGGGAGTCACCCCCATGGGGTCGGTACCTGCCCAGGGGGACATTGGGGGACAATAGGGGACAATAGGGACCCCCCCAAATTCCTCAAAAAGGATCCGGGTCTGGGGGATCCATGGGAACCTCACAGGGTCACCCCAGACCCACCTTGGGGACAATCAGGTAGCCCTGGGGACACCTGGGACAGCCTTGGGGACCCCCCTAGAGCCACTCCTGGGGACACCCGGGTCACCCCCATGGGGTCAGGGGGACATTGGGGGGTCAGGGGTGACAATAGGG